TGGAAATACTGAATTGACAGCAAGGTGATCTGAGTGTCTCCCGCCATAACGCTTTCTATGTGTTTGTATGTTTATTACAAAAAAATGGCGCAATAATCATTAATTGTCATTTCGTTATTAAATACTACACCAAATACAAAATAAATAGCACCATTAAATTTCTTGTAAAAAACTGGTTATTATGAAGTTTTTACTTATAGTACCTATCACTCCTGAGGATGACGTTGTAACGTCAAAACTTTTTGAAGGCCATAGATAGGCCTAAATAAAATATTTTTAATTGTGTACCAGTTTAACGTTGAATATTATTTATGGTTTTATTATGAAGTTATTTTGAAATTTGCAAGTTCAACCGTTTGGTTTCCTATAGCGAACCAAATAAACAAACTTCCTCTTTTATATATATAGACTAATCATTTAAATATGTTTGTATTGGTTATGGTTCTGTAAAATTTAGCCATATCTTTATAATGTTCATAATGTAGTAGAGTGTCCTGTACAACACAACCAGTAACACCCCAGACCTATTTCCCAAACAAGTGGCATGGCCACTAGATCTCGTATCATTTGCATTGTAGCACTCAATAAGGAACTCCAAAATGAAGAACATAAAACTTGACATCCTAAAAATTTGTCAAACTCACCAGAAAAGCCTCTTGCATTTTTTCATGCATTTCGAACAAATTATTCACTCGCACTTATTTGTCTGATAGACATGTATATAGCCAATAGAAAGAGCTTATTGTAATGTATAGGAATCTTAATTTTTTATTTTCAGTTTTGGTATCAGAGACAGTACTTTGCTTTGAGCAGTTTTTATTAACCTATTTATAGTTAACTTAGAAAGCCAGATAAATTAGGGTAGTTTTGAGACATCCTATATATTTTTTGTGTTTTAAAATGTATATTTGAAAGTTACATGAATTGTTTGATGGAAAACCAGCTTAGTGAGAAAAAAGCAGGGTTATTGAAGCATCTCATCTGAGTGCAAACAGCCTCAGTACTAAAGTAAATGCTAAATTTCCTATTTGTTATGTATCTTTTTTATTTAGTGTTATATATTTTTTAACAACAGTAAATAAATGTTAAAATCAGAAACTTTAGGATAAGTAACAAAACTTAAATAAAATTTTACTTAAGGAAGCTAGAAAAGCACTCATGGTTAGTATACGATTTTAACCTGATTCTTTATCTACCATAAGTTGTACTGGAAACACCCCACTGTGATTTATTGCTTTTCATGCAGAGAGGGGGCCCAAAGTATACCCCTTGAGGTGGATTCCTGTACATCGTGAGGGGACCTCCCAGGGAAGGTTCTGTATTTTCAGTTACCTCCTCTGGGATCTGACATTCACCCACGTGTTGGCCATGAAGGGAAGGAGAGGATCCTGGTGGTTGGGTGGTTTCTCCAGCCAAGGAGTTTCTGCTGTGTGACACATCTTTACTCACAAGAACGGAATTATGCTGCCAACTAATATTCTAATTCTGAAGATTACATTACCGCATACACATGCTACTGTCAAGACAGTTTATCGTAACTGTAATATATGGCCATACATTCCTAACCCTCTCAGGTGTTTCCAATGTCAGCAGTTTGGACAATTGAAGGCATCTTGTTCTTTGACATGTGATTCTTGTGGTGGCAAAGATCATAATGCCTACGAGTGTCAGTTGGATTCTCACTATGTCAATTGTGCTGGTTCTTACTCCTGTTACTTTCGTTCTTGCCCTAAGTGGGTGGAGGAGAAAGAGGTACATTGTTTATGCACTCTTAATAACATTTCTTACCCCTAGGCTTGGAAGTTGTTGTCCCTGACTCCATCACAGACATATGCTGCTGCACTACGTTCCACTGCTACAGTGGGTATGCAGACAACATGTTCTGTGCTTCCATCAGAGTCTTTTTCACATCATGTGAAGAGTCTTTTGCCCTCAATGGATAACCGAGTTGTCAAGTCAACATTTATTTCTATCTCTGTCCCCACCATTGCTTCCAGTGACTACCTGGGTCCATCTCCTTTGGTCCCGGCTTCCGGGTCTGCTCGGATCCGTTTACTTCGGCCTCGAGGTGCAGAATGGTTATTTGTTGACACTCTCAGACACTGTAATCTATGTCTAATGACAGAGATCTGCCAACTGGACCGAGGGCAGGATCCATAGAGGTCGATAGACCTTCTTCTAGTAAAGAAAAATGTCGTGGTTGTAAACAGAAGGGTTCTCCGCCTAGTTCTCTTCCACCTGAATAAAAATAGCCATTGTGATACAGTGAAACTGTCAAGGCTTCTGTTCAAATATGTGTGATATTATGGCCTTGATTGATACCTGTAAGTAATGAGATAAGAAAGTATAAGGAGTATTCCACATACCAGCACACACAATGTTTTCCAGAGTGTGTCAAGTGGCACAGACAAGGTGGGTACGTGCTGGTTGACCAGCAGTGCCACCCTTCTATGCACTCATCCATCACACAACCTGTCATTCTGATATAAAGAAAACTGCCAAGCTGACTGTATCAGCAGGGTTTCGGGATGTTTCCTGGTAGGGAAAACAACCAGGGCAGGAACATTCCTGAAAACCTCCGATACAGTCCGGCCGG